GGACCAGTCAGAGAAGAGGAAGAGAATAATGTCAGGGAAACCCAGAAAGAGGAGGGGTGAGGGTGATTAAAGGTACAAGTGTTGCAGAGAGATCAAGGCAGATGCAGGTAGAGAAGGTTCTCTTAGGGTGATTTACAGATCACTGGTGACTTTGGAAAAGGCAGTTTCAGTTGAGTAATAAAGGAGGAAGTCAGATTGGATGGGGTTAAGAAGACAATGTGTGGAGAAATGGATCCACAGAGTATATATGGATGGGAAAGATAGGAACATAAGACAAATAGTTTGCAGGGATGGTGGGATCCAGTAAGAGTTTTTGAAGGATGGGGGACACTTGGGCATTTTGGAGGTAGATATTGGGGAAGGAGCCAGTGGAGAGAAAGATACTGATGATTGGAAAGAGAGGAGGATAATGGTGAGGACAATTTTCTACAGCAAGTGGGAGAAGATGGGATCAAAGGTACATGTAGGGGGGTTGACCTTTGGTAAGAAAGAAGGCCTTCGCTACATCAGAGACTACAGGAGAGGATGAAACGGTGGAGAAATAATAGGGTTAAGAGTTACTTAAATTTTTCTTTTACTCTGTCTCTCCATTTCTGGAATAAGGAGGAAGAAATTTGACCTAATAAATAGAGAAACAGATGGAAAAAGGTGAATTCCTTTCCATTTCAATCACTGAATTTTTCAATCTTTTCTTTTTTTCAATGCCACTGGAACCTAGAGATAAGGTTCATTCATTATCCAACTTAAAAGTATCTTGAGGATTACTGGCTTGGGTTAGGTTTTGTCAGGTAAATAGGCTATCTTCTGGGTGTGAATAATAGTAAATGGTAATAATAATAATAACTTCCACTTATGTAGTGGAGTTTATAAAGTGCTTTGTAATACACTGTCTGATGTAAGTCTGATAACTTTGTGAGATAGGTACTACAAATATCAGTACCTTCATTTTACAGGTGAGGAAAATGAGGCTCAAAGTGGCTTTCTTCAAGTCAAATACCTATGAAGAATCAGAATCAGAACCCAGGTCATTCTGACTCTATGTACAAAATGCTACCTCCTATGCCTCTGCAACCTCTCATAACATTTTCAGAAGACACTCTTAAGGCTAGGCTGATATTGTTTGGCATATTGGAGCAATAATTAACTTGACTGCTCTGGGGAAAAAAAAATAAACCACCTGGTTTATTCTGGGAAAAATATAAACCATCACCATCAAAAAAACTTAACAGACCTCTGAAAGTACAGGATCTGGTCTACTTTCTACAAAGATGCCCGACTGTCAGGAAGATCTGAGTTTAAATTTGGTCCAAGACTGTGTCATCCTGGGCTAGTCACTTAACTTGCCTGCCTCAGTTTCCACAACTACAACTGGGGATAATAATAGTACTTCCCATTCAAGGTTCCTGTGAGGATCGAGTAAGATAATATTTATAAAACACTTTATGCTATCTATATGCTGTTGTTATTATTATGATTATTTTCAAGCAAAATATCATTACCACCACTGACGCTGCCTAGGCTTACATCTCCTTAGTCAGACCCGTTAGGAGCACGGTTTGAGTTCTCTTTTTATTCTAGCCAGAGGCTGCTGGAGTGTAGATTGCATTACATATCATCCACTATTGAAATAAAACTATTTTTATGGACTGGCTTGTATGTCATAATACACAAAATAGTTATCACTATGCCAAGTTGGCAACAAACAAAATTCCCATCAACAAATTATCCTTTTTGTTTCTGAATATCATGACAAGTGAGTTGTCATGCCCCAAGTGTAGATGGGACTGAGATAACCTGTGTTTTATGCAGAGCACATTTTAGTTCCAAAGCAAATCAAATATCATCATTGGGCACCACTGAAGCTGTGCAATCCTTAGTGCTCCTATTTTTGTCTTTGGCATTTGGGGAGGTAGGCATCATGCTGTAATTCTGTAGAATGTAAGTTCCCTGAGGATAGGAAGTATTCCTTTTAAACTTTGTATCCCCAGTTCCTAGCATACTGCTTTGTACATAACAGATGTTTAATAAACGTTCATGGAATGGAATTAATGGAAAAGAGTACTAGGCTGGGGGTGGGGAGGGAAGTCAGAAGGCTTAGATGCTAGTCTAGGCTCCACCACTAAAAAATTGTATGACCTGACAATATTCATTCAGTAAACATTTATACAATGCCTACTATGTACCAGACATTGTGCTAAATGCAGGGGATACAAAAAGATGCAAAAGTCCCTGTCCTCAAAAAGCTTACAGTCTAAAGGGGAGACACTATACAAACAAATATATACAAAGCAAGCTATATACATACAGGCTAAATAGGAAATAAAAGGGAAAACACTGGAATTAAGAGGGGTTAGGGAAGGTTTCTTGTAGAAGGTGGGATTTTAGTTGGGACTTAAAGGAATCCATGGAGGTCAGTAGTTGGAACAGAGGCGTGAGAGTGTTTTGGTTATGGAGGACAGCCAGGGAGAATGCCCAGAGCTAAAAGATGGAGGGTCTCATTTGTGGAACAGACAGGAGGCCAGTATCACTGGCAACACTAGTACGTGTTGGGGAGTAAGATGTAAGAAGACTGCAAAATGAGGACCTTCTCTTCCTTCACAGGTCGATCAAATATAATAGAATTAATAGTGCTTTGAAATAATAAAAATGTTAATGCAGTTGTCAGGTGTTACATGCATATCGGCAAAATATTGAGCAGGAGAGAATAAAAATTCATGCTTGACTCGTGAGAAATACTCAGATCCTTACTCCTGGGTCACCACAGACACTACCTTCTCAACTACTGCACCTCGCTCCCATGCCCACCCCCTTCCCCTCTATTCCACTGTCATCAACACTTTCTTCTGCATCCTGTTAGCTCCTTCACTGCCTCTCTCCAGGGAAGTGTACCTATGGCAAAGGCATCAGCCCCTGGGCAACGCTGGGAATTTTTTTTCATTAAGTCAGCTTTATCACTGAGCCACATGGCAACAAACCCAATTGTCTCTCTGATCTTTGGTTCATGTTTCCTGTATCATCATTCCACATGAGGCACTGACCAGTCTTACTAAGGAAGCCCAATAACTGGGACCCGAAGAGCCTCCCAGAAATATAACCACCCAATCCACATGAAGGCTCCAATGTCTGAGGCAAGCCTACCTTGTATAAGCCTGCCTCTGAAGTACGGCTTTGCTATCTCAAGATTTTTTGTTTTTTTAAGCGGAGGAAAAATAGACAATAGAGAAAAGAAGATGCTCCATCACAATCTTTCATGGTCACTGAACATAAATACACAAGCTTTCAAGTGAGGCAGAGGGAAGGGAGTTGGAGACATTGGAGAGATGTTTTAGTGAGAGAAACCCCTCATCAGGAGGCTGCTTTCTCTGTGCCTGGCTTTTCCCAATGGATACAGAAGGGCAGGAGTTACTTGACTACTCTCACACAAAGCCTTTCTGTTCCTGCTTTTAAACTGATGACCATGGCAGCCAAGTGGCCAGGCAACGATCCGTACGGATGGGGCCCCAAGAGAATCTAACTGAACTTGATCACAAAGTATTAGAGACAGGACAAACAGTGAACTTTAGAGAAAGAGAACAAGGGTTAAGAAGAATCAGCGGACTTGGATAAGTACTCCCTATAGCCAGGAACACAAGTTGTGTTTCACAACTTTCACTGAGAACCTATTTATCTTTTTTTTTTAAAGAAGCTTTAAAAATTATTTAATATTTTATTTTCCTCCCAACTACATATAAAAACAATTTTTAACATTTGTTTTTTCAAATTTTGTGTTCCAAATACTCTACCTCCCTCCCTCCCTTCTTTACCTCATTAAGAAGGCAAGCAATTTGATAGACAGAACCTATTTATCTTAAAAAATAATGATCATCAATGCTTCCAAATCACATTTCCTCATGTTATCACTCTTCACTAATTCAACTTTCTCTCCTGGGTATTATAGGGAAAGGAGATGATGCTGCACAACCGAAATGTATAAAAACTCTTTCAAACAACCTTTAAATTTCTCATCATCCTTTTCCTGCTACATACATTTCAATTCAATCTAAAAAATGTTTTTTAAATTAAATAAATTTTTTTTTTTTAACAAAAATGCCTTTTTTTTTTTTTGGTCCTGATATAATGTTATTTCACATTTTATTATTCTGGTGCTACTCAGGAATCTTCAAGAAGAAATTGTGAAACACACTGACTGTTCCAGGATTTGGGGTTTGGGTACTGTATTTCCTTCACCTCTCAACAAATGACCATAAGACTTATTCTGGTAGCCTTTCAGCTGCCAAAGAACCTACTTCCCCTTGAGTTGGCGGCAGTTCTGATTGAGTCCACTTGTGAAGAAGTAGCTTCCAGTACCCCTCCCTCCCTCCCTATTTAATTTTCCTTTGACCCCTTCCTTGCCCCGTCAAAGAACCACAGCCTTGAAACGGCTCTCACACTGGGGAGCAAGGAGCTACTTTTTGCAAACGAGCTGTTGTGACTATGAGCTTATCTGGCATAGCTTCAACGTAGCTCCCCAAAGCTATGTTTTGTTCATCTAAACCACTTCCTCAGAGTTATCATGAGAGCTCTGCTTCAGGAAAGGGCTCCTCTACCACTGTGGGCAGGATAGTTACCAAGTAATTCTTAAGTTGGGAAACCTGGTCCTGAGACATTTAAAGTCCACTGACCACAATTCTCAGGGTTTCTTCAGCCTGGCTCTTTTGTAAGAAGAGGTTTCCTTCTTAGTTAGGAAAGAATGGAAAATAAAGAGAGTGGGAGGATTAAGTTGGCAGGTCACCAACACAGCCACTCTCAAGTACAAAACTACGTCAAAGTAACCAAGAGAATTTCCATGTGCTACTTTACACCTGAAGTTACAGGTTTAAGGACTTCTACCACCCCCCTGAAACCTAAACTAAACTCCGCACCCTGAAACCTAAACTAAACAATTCCGTCCGTCACAAGTAAAAATTGCCTATTTATAAAAATCTCTGCCCAGGTAGCAGCAAGGTGAAGCCAGTCTTTACCTTACAAGCTGTCAACATGTCAGACACTGCTTTTCGGCTCAGATTTGCAGTAGCAATCACGTCCTCCTGTCTGCATGAGTTCCCAGCGGCCACGGCTTTGGCAGTTGCCATAGTGATGCCTTTCGTCATCCTTATCGATTCTTCAGGTGATGATGTCTTTTCTGGTACCTCCTTTGACTGAAATACCTGGAGGGTAGGAGGAAAAACGGGAGGAAAAAAACAACCCACAATTTATTTTTCTCTTTGCCAGGCCACCGCCTGGTGCCTCAAAACAGACGCAGCAATTGGAAGCAAACTTCAAATGGCAGGAAATTAGAAATTTAATTTGAGTACAGTAATATCATTCTTGCTTGTCAAGGCTGTAGCTCTGATAAGCCTCTAACACCTACACTGGGAACAAGCCATGGAAGGCATGTGTAAAATGTTAACCCTTTCGATTGCAGGAACTGACACCCAACATGTGTCACTTAAACAGTCCTGGGAAGGTCCCCCATACTTTTCTTTCATCCATACTGGCATCCCAGCAGCCCTCAAGACCATGCAGACCCTTAGATTTGTTTGTCGATTGCAGGGCAGGGCTGACCTGGATGCATCTCTGAGGACTCATGCATCTCTCTTTAAAGGGGTGTGGGGTTGGGGGAAATGAGGCTTTGAGCTCACTCTATTCTTAGCCTCTCTTACAAATATAACTGCATAATTGTGCAGAGGAGCTCAAGTCGAGTGAGCTACGGTGACACTGTGAATTATTTAGCAACATGCTGAAATAAATTAACCATGGTAAATGTATATCCTACTTTAAAGCTGCACCAATCAATCATATCAAAGACTGTTTCAGGTTTGTATTCTTACGTCTTTTTTTTCTCAAGTTGATTACGGACGCTGTTCACTTTGTATTGGACATTAGTTACCTAGGAAAAGGATGAGCATACAGATAGTACTTGACTGACACCACATCTGTTGTTTTGTCAATTACTCCTGGTCTTCATGACCCCTTCGGGATTTTCTTGGCAAAGATCCTGGAGTGGTTTGCCATTTCCTTCTCCAGTTCATTTTACAGATGAGGAAACTGAGGCAAACAGGGTTAAGTGACTTGCCCAGGGTCAGACAGCTAGCAAGTGTCTGAGGCCAGATTTGAACTCTGGTCCTGACTCCAAGGATGGCACTTTATCCAGTGGGCCACTTGGCTGCCCTAATCCCAGATTAGTCTGAGTTTATCTCAGGATTTTAAGGAAGAAGTTTTCAAGAGGGTTTCCCTTAGGCAGGGAGTTCCACAGCAGCATGTCTAACTCAAGAAGCATCATTCTAGCTATGGAGGGGTAAAAAAAAGGATGGGTCCAGGAAAATTGCATAGGACTGTAGTAGGGATGTAGGTATATTCCAGAGACAACCTCTATGTGAATAGAGCCCTCCTTTCTCAGACTCTGGGCAAGCACAAAGGCTCCAAAGCCCCTAGGTGATTCTGAGCAGTAGTTCTTGAGCATTGTCTGACTGCAGTAAATGCTGTATTTTCACTTTATCCTTTCAAGTACAAACTAAATACTAAATCAACTAAGGTCTAAACAATTAACATAAGATTAAGTCAACAGAGTGAAAGTTAGTGCTTCCCAGGCAAATACTAATGGGATTTCTCCTTTCTAACACTAGGTATGAGTTGATTCTATCATAGGTGAATGACCAAGTCACAGAAGAGAGAGAGGGGAGGGTCACAGCTGAATTTATGTCCAAATTTCCCTTTTCAAAGAAGGTCCAATAGATTGTTGGTCCATTTTCAGTCAATTCCTCCATAGTACAATTAGGACAAGATAATGAATGACCAGGCATAATGACAAAAGAAAAGAGGAGGAGGAGCAGTAGGTACATTTATAAGATAGTAATGCACCAAAATCCTCTTCTCTGCAGTGCAAGAGAGTTAGAGAGAAAACATCTGAGAGTGTTTAGTGTCTGAAAGGCACACGGGAGATGAAGTTAGGTACGCTGTATGATAGCACCATCTACAAATAGAAGGAAATGAATGTTAAGGGTAAAGTTTCGAGGGGACAATTATTTGGTTCTTTACCGTTAGCTCTTGTTTTATGTACTCAATGGTGGCTTCCAGAGCCCTGGTGCCTCTGGTAGCTTCATCCTCCACAGCTTTCACTGTCTTCAGGAGAGATGTGACATTTGTTACCATTACCTGGAAAGGGATTAAGAAAAAGAGAGAAGAAATAGTAAGTGGGTTGAGGACTTTTTCTTAGGGGAGTGACAGTAAGTCATAGGTTTGATAATATCACAAATATTTGAAATACTGCCGTACTAGCAAAAAACCAAAAACCAAAAAACAACAAAACTTCCACTAAGGTTCTACTTTGATTTGCCAACATAATTTTCAGATTGGGACAAATATCAATCAATAAGCATTTAATCAATAAATAAGCATTTTTTTTTAAAGTGCCTACTCTGTGTCAAGTACTGTGTATACATTAGGTATACAAAGACAAAAGTAAGTGAACCAGTCCCTGTCCTCAAGGAGCTTACATTTTATTTTTTTTTGAAGGCACTCAGGGTTAAGTGACTTGCCCAGGGTCACACAGCTAGTAAGTAATTTAGGCCAGATTTGAACTCAGTTCTTCCTGACTCCAGGGCAGGTGTTTTATCCACTGTGAGACCTAGCTGCCCCAAGGAACTTACAGGCTAATGAGAGAGATAATATGAATATACATAAACACTATATACAAGGAATTGTGAGGAGAGTGGAGGAGGTCTGTATGTGAAATGGTACTGATGGGGATGAGATCTAAACCCTTAAAAGGAAAAGACCATGTCTTTGGGATCTGGACCCCAAAAAGAAAAAGCCCTGGACTTTCCCACATGGCCAAATCTCTGGTGTTTACCTGAGGCTATAATCCTATCAACTGGCCTTTCATTATCTCTTCTCTGTTTTATCCTTGACCTAGCCTAGCCCTCATTGTGTTACCTCTCTATGCTCCTAACCCCCCTCCCCTTCCCATCCTTAATCCTATCTAGGGTCCATTCTCCCCTGGTCCAGGTCGGTTCTGTACCTCAAAGCCACCCCAGCTTACTGGCCACTCCCATCCAGCATACAGATCCTCTTCAGATGCCCCCTTCAGTCACCCCAGACTACTTGGCCACTTCTAGATCCCTCCCACAGTCTTTCTGTATATAAGATCCATCTGGCCTCCATTAAGGAGCTCAAATTCTTTAGATCTGGCCCCCTTGCATTAGGGATACCTAAGAGTCTAGCCAATATGGCAGATTCTTTAAATCCCACCCATCCCAGATCGATGTTCTAATAAACCTTGTCTTTGGCTGAATTCATTCAGGCAGGACCCTTGTGTTGTGATTTTGGGGCCCCAGCACACCTAAACCTCTAAACCTCAACAGCTCTTGGGCTGAATCTTGAAAGAAACCAGGGATTATAAGATGCAGAGGAGTGAGAACCAATACAAAGACACAGAGATGAGAGATGGGGCATCATGTGTGAGGTATAGCAGGTAGTGAGCCTATATAGCTAGGTGGTATATGAAGTGAATGGAGCAGAATAAATGTGAGCAGGCTAGAAAGAGAGGAAGGGGCCAGGTTGTCAAGAGATTTAAATGGGAGACAGGTGTTTGTATTTGATCCTACAGGTATCTGGGAGCAACTAGAGTTTATTGAGTGTGTATGTTGAGGGGGAAGGTGAAGATATGGCCAGATTTAGGACAATTTTTAGGTTTTTAGGACAATTATTTTGGTGACCATGTGGAGAATGGTGACCATGTGGAGAGTGGAGAGGCTTGAGGCAGAGAGTTCATTCAAATGGCAATAAGCCAGGTGAGAGGCGAGTAGAGACTGAATTAGGGTGGTATTTGGTGAAGGGAAAGGAAAAGGGAGAGATCTGTCAGTTTATCTGATATACAGGGTGAGTGAGTAGGAATTGAGGAAGATGCTGAGTAAATGGAAGGATGGTGGCACTCTCAGCTGTAATAAGGTAGGAGGGAAGAGGGGTGGGTTTGGGGAGGAAAGATGGATTCTGTTCTGGACGTGTTGAGCTTGAAATGCCTTTGGAACATCTAGTCTGAAGAGCTTAAAAGGTAGTTGGTGATGCAGGTCTGAAGCAAAGGAGAAAAACTAGGGCTGGATATATAGACTTAGGAGTCACCTGCATAGACATGACAGGGGAATCCTTGGAAAGGGGCAGGGTAGGGTGAGGTGAGGTGGGAGAATCCAGGTGATAAGGTCACTGAACAGGACCAGGCCCAGAGAAAAAGAAAAGGTCCAGAGCCTTAGGGAACATTGCAAGTAAAACAAAAACAACAACAACAACAACAACAAAAAACAAAAACACCCCAAACTCAGTGGTTTTGCATAAAAAAAAATGGACATGTATCTTATTCACTCATATATTCCTCATCTTTCCATCCTACTATGAGAAAAGTGAATTTTCTTCTCTCCTTTTGTTTAATTCAGTCAATCAAGAAGCATTAATTACATATTCATTATGTGTCAGGCACTATGCAGGATGCTGGGGATATAAATATAAGAGGCAGGGTCTTCCTTCAAAGAGACTGCATTCTAGTAAGGTGATACAATATGTTCAAAGATAAATAAATAGGATATATGCAAAGTACATACATTGTAAAATGAAATAGGAAGAGTGGTAATAACATCTGGGAAGGCCAGGAAAGGCCTCTGGTAGGAGACTGTGCCTGACCTGAGCCTTGAAGAGAGGTAGGGGTTCTAAAAGGTGGAGATGAGGGAGGACAGCATGGAAGACGAATAAGTCACAGAGGCCAAAGACTGAACGTCATGATTGTGGGACAGAAGTAGAAGTCAGGTAAAGCCTTACATGATAACTCTGGCAAATTTCATATTAAGAAGTCACAAAGTGAAAGATGGATTACATACAAATAGGTATATCACTTTAGCTTAATAAAAGCATACAACCCATGCTTAAGAGTCAGCTAACCTGGAAGTCAATACCACTTTTCCCCGTGGCATCATTCAAAGAAACTAAGTGGCTGCCAAGTTTTCCAGGATAATGGGTGACCAAACATGCTTCCTTTCTGATTTTCTTCCATCACAGTCTTCAGTTTTGATCTTTCCAAATATGTGTATGCCTGAGTCATGAATGTTGGTGAATCTCTAACACAGTCCTAGTGACCAGGTAAGAAGAATTAACTGGTTGATTGGAAAAAAAAAAAGACAACTTTTTTTTTTGCATATGATAAAAGGGATTTGAGCTGAAGATGAGTGAGGACAATATATTGGATTTTTTTGGGCTCTTGTGAAGTTTTCATGTAACAAGTTGATTAAAAAAAGGAAAATGGCTAATGTTGGAGGGGCTATAAGAAATAGGCACCTTAGGGCACACAAGTGGTGCAGTGGACAGAGCTCTGGCTTTGGAGTCAGGAGGACCCGAGTTCAAATTTGAGCTGAAACACTTGACACTTACTAGGTGTGTGACCCTGGACAAGCCACTTAACCGCAATTACCTCACCAAAAAAAAAAAAAAATTTAGGGCAGCTAGGTGGTGCAGTGGATAGAGCTCCGGCCTTAGAGTCAGGAGGACCTGAGTTCAAATCTGGTCTCAGACCATACACTTGACACTTAGCTGTATGCTCCTGGGCAAGTCACTTAACCCGACTGCTCATCAAAAAAAAAAAAAAAAAAAAAAAAAAAAAGGCACATTAATGCAGTGTTGATGGAGCCATGAATTTGTATTGACATCCTGGAAAGCAATTTAAAACTATGCCCCCAAAATTAGCAAACTGTGCATAGCCTCTGACTTAGCAATATCACTACTACGTTTCAAAGAAATCAAAGAAAAAGAAAAAGGTCATATATGTACAGCTCTTTTGTGGTGGCAAACAATTTAAAACTAAGGGATTGCTAATTAATTAGGGAATGGTAAACAGATTATGGGATGTGAATGTAATGGAATACTATTGTGCTACAAGAAATGGCAAAGGGGACAACTTGTGGGTTTTAATTGGACCCTAGTAAAGGGCTTAGGAAGACTTGTATGAACTGTTGCAGAGTGAAGTGAGAAGATCCTGGGGAATAATTTATACTACAACAACAATATTGTAAAATGGATAACTTTGAAAGATTTAAGAACTCTTAATAATCCAACATTACTCCAGAACCAGTGATCAACCATGCTGACTCCAGAGGTCCAATAATAAAGAATGCTTTCCACCTCCTGACAGAGAAGTGATGGTCTAAATATGCAGAATGAGACATTTTTGGACGTGGTCAATATGCAAATTAGTTTTGTTTGATTATGTGTAAGTTTGTTGCAAGAATTTTTTTTTTTAATTTGTTGGGGAGAAGAGGAGTAGAAGAGTTGGGAGGAGAGAAAATATATATCTGTTAATTAAAAAAAGTTTCCATGATGAAAATTATAATACTATTTTATGTTCTCATTTTCACCTGACATCAAACTGAGGATTCTCGGCCTTAAAATACAAATTCAGCGAGCTGGCATGATCACCGCTCACCCTGAAGGGCAGGGGCAGGGACGATGTCTCTTCCCTGGGCCTCTACCTACACAACAAATGCTACAACAGCAAACCAATGCTTGTGACAGAGCTACTGCTGTGTTAAACTTGATACAAGTCAGGCTGCGATGTTGACAGAGATCACACAACGTGCTGAATAAATCACTTTAACGGGTTATTTTTGTCACCAGAAAGACTGTGTTGCTAAAGATAATTTCAAACTCAGAGAGAACAGAACTGGAAGGTTTTCACCAGGTAATAATAGCATGCTACAAATAACCAGGCCATGGAGAAAAAAAAATGACCCTAATACAAACAAATGCCTGAATGAATTGCCATTTGAAAGAGAGGTCAGGGAAAACAGGAAGCCCCTCATCTACCTTGGCTGCACCCTTGAGTTGGTACATGGATGGATCATCGGCCGGCTTGCTGGCAGCTCCTTTAGTAGCACCAATAAGATCAGAAAGGGCCTTGGCCACATCTTTGATGGCATTGATCAGGACCACCTGAAAGAAAAAGAGGAAACACTCACATCACAACCCCATCTGTCTTCATCTGTCAAATACGATGGATAGGCATGAAGGATTGGGCAGAGAGAAGGATATCTTTTTGTAATAAAAATGTTTTGTTGGGGACCTGTGATTGGGAACCTGTAGGAACTTACAGAATGGAAATTAATCTCTAATTTCTAGCCTTCAGAGAGATGCCTGCGGCACCAAGATGCCTTGACCACCAGCACAAAGGAAGCATGTATCAGTGGTGGGACTTGAATCCAGGCCTTCCCTACTCTAAGATCAAACTTTCTGTCACTACACTTTGCTGCTTTTCAATAAAAACAGCACAGTTAAATGTTTTTTACCCAGTGGCTTTGTTGACCTGGCCTCATTTCCTACAATAGGACTGAGAAGGATAAGCAGTCATTATGACTCAATACCCCTCTTACCTCATGAGACCAAATAATTTGATATACACATTAGCATGCTCTTTCACAGAATGCATTATGTTAATCTGTCTTATTCCATGGTAACTGTAACTACCTGATACGTTTTTACAGCATTTCTTTCTTTCCCTTAACCAGTCTTCCATCGTTCTTGCATAAAAGGAGTGCCAAATTTCTGGGCATGGAGAAAGGATGGATGTTTTGCTTGTTTCTACTGACTATGTGCTACCCTTACTGTCATGGAGCACTGGGTTGTGGGGCACTGGGTGGTGGTATTATTGTGTGGTTAGAGATGTAAGAAGTGGGGCAAAAGGGGATCAAGCAGTTTCCCACTTTCTTTAACTACTGAGAACTTACTAACCAACATAGGGACATTGGGGAGCATTCTACACTGGCTATTTTCTACAAGAAATCAGGACAATACCTTTGGGTGATTTCAAAAGCTTGGGAGTCCACAGAAAGGCAACAAAGTAACTAGCACTTGGAAACTCTGTTATCGTCTGAGTTAAACTGAATTCTCACATTTCACCTTTGAAGGTAGGCTGGCCCTACATTTTCCAGAGTTGAAACACACCAAAACAAACTGTCACCAATGTGGAGCTCTAATTCTAGTTATCAAGTTATAGCCTTTCAGTCCTCCACGAAGTAAAAGCAATACCAAAGGAAAGGATTGTGCGAATACTTAAAATTCCACAGGATGGCCAATTTGGATTCTGATATTATCAAAAATAAATCCAGGAGGGAAAAAAATCTGCAATTTAAAGAATGTTTCCCCTCAGAGCTATGCTCCATTAGAGGATGTCAGAGGAGGAAAGGGGCAGAACCATTTGAGGATAAGTTGCTAGTGTTTTATTAACTAACTGCAATCACTTATTAACGATGCAAACAACACCATTTGCTCTCTGTCATATAAATAAAAGGTTCTTGTCTGTTATGAGCCATCCAAACTGAAGGAATAGAATTGTGGAGAAAGATTTAAGAAGCTAAGTCTGAAGAGTTTACCACCTGATAGGCTGGAACTAGCCAAATAAACAGGAATGAGTAGTAACTTTTCTTGGAGGCTTCCAAATGGTAAGCCGCTCACTAAACCTGCTTGCATTTAAGGGAATGTAACTGATAATTCTAGGGCTCGTACAGAACCTGCAAGGTCACTGAGTTCACGTCCCTCTCCCAAAGCCAAATATACACGAAATCATATATTAACTTTATGTTCTGTTTTACTTTCAGAGATCTGAAGACTTGGGTCAGTTATTTGTATAACTAAAAAGGCCATGCCCACAAACACAGGAATAGGATGATGAACCAAGAACTAGAAGGCCACCTATTATTTTACACCTGAAGAAACTGAAGCCCAGGGAGGTTAATTAAATTCTTATATTCAGATGTCCCTAGTAATTCTCATACCTGGGTCTCAGGATCATCAGACCCTAGGCTGGCTGCTCCTAGCTTCACCACCTCGGCAAGCTGGGTGATGGTGGCTGCCGATGACTGAGCTGCTTGGGCCAGTTTATCTTGAGTTGAAGCAGCCCCTGACACCAGTAGTTTTGTATCCTCCACCAAGGCCTTTGCCGTCTTCAAAATGTTCTCCCTGGGGGCAAAAATAAGGCAGAAGAGAGTAAAGGGGCAATGGACAACTTGCTGACTATGTGAGGCTCAGGAGAAAAGTATGGTCCAAGGTTGAGATGCCCATCAGCCAAACCATGGTACCCACAATGAGCCAAGGCTTTAAGAAAGAAGGGTTGGAGAAAGCCATTGTCAAAGGAGGACTCTGCATAAAAGGATTTTCTTATCGAGAGAGAAAAAAAGAGGAAGAAAGAAGGAGGGGAGAGAGAGAGAGAGGGACATAGAGGGGGAAGGGGAGGGGGAGAGAGAGAGAGAGGGAGGGAGAGGGAGAGAAAGGAAGAGAGAGAGAGAGGGAGAATGAATCAACCACCCTCTAGAAGGGATGGAGAAACTGACAACTGACAAGTAGCAAAATATGAAATATCTTGGATTTTAGATCTGGAAAGGACCTTAGAAGGGATCTCTAGTCCAGCACCATCATTTCACAGATGGAGAAACTGGCCCGAAAGGTTAAGCAATTTGGCCAAGGCCACACATGAAAATGGTAGAGCCTAGATTTGAATCCAACTGCTGACTCCAGATCCATTATTTTTTCCATTCTACCATAATCCAGAGGCACAAATTCACATAACCAAACAAGCTCAGGAACTGTACCAAAGCCAACAGGTTTAGTGTTTTCTCTCTCTCTCTGGCAATTGGGGTTAAGTGACTTGCCCAGGGTCATACAGATAGTAAGTTTCTGAGGTTATATTTGAACTTAAGTTCTCCTGACTTTGGGGCTGGTGCTCTATCCACTGCACCACCTAGCTGCCCCTCGTTCTCTCTTCATAGTCCTACATTTACACCTATGGGGGGATTTTTATGTGTGTGAGACATCGTTTTTCACAAGCTAAGAAACTGAGCAGAAGACATTAGGCTCACTGTATAAAATCAGACAAGTGGGGCTGGAAGAGGACCCAGGGGAGCCATATGGACAAAGGTGAAGTTCTCCACCATACTACTTTGAGGTTTCTAAACCAATGGCAGGAGATTAGCCTGGGAGGAAGAAATGGTGGGAGATCTCTTCATCCTTCCATCCTCTCCATCCTAGGAAGCAGGATCAGAGACGGAGAGGGGTACACAGCAGCTGTGTTGCAAGGCGGCCTCCAGCAGCACACATAGAATTCTGACAGTTCTAATTTGGGAGGTGCTGCAGGAATGCATATTCCTTAGCTGCTGTTCAAGGTCCCAAACTCTGACCCAGGCAAGGAAAAAAGCCTGGGTCTTGAGCATCACTTCCCCAAACAAGTTAAAACCCCAAGCTTTCTGGCAAATTCTTTTCTCTTTTACTGATGTCTACAATTACCACGTGGTTAATAAAAGAATGAGGTACAGGAATGATTTCCTGTTTTCCTGAGTGAGAATGTCATCCTTCACTGGAGCAGGCTTTATTTGGGTTGTGAAATAGAAGGCTCAAGAAATGATTCTACTTTTAACTCTAGTGAATAGGATTTATTTTGACTATTTGGCTTGCTCTACTTATCTAACTGCTTTCCTTTCTCCCTAACCCCCTTTCTATCCTCTTTAGAATCATAATAAAGCTTTTTGCCTCCTGGGCTGCCTCTCTGGAGTGAAATTCAAAATTCTCCCAAGGCAGGTACAACTCAATCTTGACCGTCACCTTTGGCTACCTCTGGGACAGCTGCTTCTTTGTCTTCAACTCTCTGTACCAGCCCTCCCTCCTTTGCTTTGACCAAGCCCTGACCTGTGGTCTGCAAAGGTTTCATTGTTCTCAGCATTGAGGGTCCCCGCTGTTGCAAACATGATGGTGGTATCCAGATCAGCAATGATGCCTGACACAGCACTGGCTGCCGTGATGCAAGCCTGCGTCCCTTTATTCCCTGCTTGGAGGGCAGACAGAACCAAAGAAACCTGGAAATCAGAGACAAAGGAAACAAAAAAAGAGACAAAGGAAATTACCTAAAGATGAGCAAAGACTTAAAATCATGAAGATGATGTCTGCCGTCACTAAGGTCTCCTCCAGTCCATGACATCATACAATGAAAGGAGCATTGGCTATGGAGTCAAAGGACCTAGGTTCAAATCCCACTTCTGACAGTTATAACCTGTGGGGCCTTAGGCAAAATCATTTGTATTCCCTGGGCCTGAGTTTCCTTACCTTTAAAACAAAGGGATTGGCCTGAGACACCCTCCAAGGACCCTTCCAGGTCTACATCTACGTTCCAACGATTTATGGTTCTAGATCACATTCAAAATTAGGCAAGAAGGAATATTCACAGTTGGGATACCTTAAAAGTCCGGACATTTCACTCTGGGTGAACAGAATTAACTTCTCCTCTGACCTTGTTTTTTACATTTCTGTTCATTAACCAGTGCAAGTAGTTTTTCTACAAGCTGGCATTTGTGTTTTGTGTCCTGGGATGCCTCTCCATCAGAAATGAATCATGGTCAAGAAGCACCCTGCATCTGCTTTGGATGTAAAGGACTATCCCTTCCCCATACCACGGTAATGATCAGTATTCTAAGCACTCATCTTTTCTAACAGCCTAGCAAAAGGAAAAGCTTCCCTTGATCTAATAAATAAGAATTCCAATTATCTGGCCATATGCAGCACAGACAATATAGGAACTAGCAGCATTCGTTTCCATATCACCATGTCTTTTAGGTAATCTATGCTGGTGCTCACTGACATGGTATTCATCTTCTCTTTAGTCATTTGTCAGACATAGAATCTCTTTTTAAAAATTTTCTGGTTCAAATTCTCTCCCACCCAACCCTCCCTACTCTAAACTCTTCCCTGGCCAACTGAGAAAAGGAGAAAAATAAAACCTCTGCATAGCCAATCAAAGCAAATTCCTGCTGTGATCATGTCCAATTGAAAAAAAAAAAGCCTCAATCTGCATTCTGAACCCATCACCTTTCTATCAGAAGTGGGCAGCATGTTTCATCATACACTTTCTGGAACTGGGGTGGGTCACTGAGAAACAGAACCTCTTAAAAATAATCCCCCCTATCCTCCCTCTCCCAGATACTCCCACTACAACAGGGAAATTAATGTGTGTTTTAATCATAGGTTGTGGCAGGGAGACCAAATGAAGAGAGAATGATAACCACTAACAAAAAAGAGCAGGTAACATTCCACCACATGCTCACTTACACACGACATAGACCCTTTGATGATGATGGGCAATTTCCAATTAAAAACCAAATGACAATGGGAGGTAGAGTAAAGGCGTTAAGGGAGGGCAGGAAGGTATACCAGAAAGAGAACTGGGCTTGAAGTTCGAAAAATTGGACTCAAATCACACCTCTGAGACTTGTAAGTTATTAATCTTTAAGCTTCAGTTTTCTCTTCCATAAAACAGGAGTAAGAATACTCATACTGCCTACCTCACACAGTTATGAGGATCAAGTGAGATATTGTACATAAAATGCTTTGTAAATTGTAATAGGAATGCTAGCTATTATTAATGAGAAGCAGTAAGAACACAATAGTGTTTGAGGACCATATTCATAACATAATGTCACTGTCTAGTGCAGGGATTCTTTTTTTTTCTTTTTATCTATTCATTTATCTATTTATTTATTTATTTTTAATATTAATTTTTAAAAATTTTGAGTTCCAAATTCTCTCCCTTTCTCCAGCCCCTCCTCTACCTATTGAGAAAATAAAAAAGATGGTATCAATTATACATGTGAAGTCAGTAGTGCAGGAATTCTTAACTGGGGGTCGGTGGACCTGAATTTTTTTTTTTGTTAACTAAATTTCAATATAATTTGTTTCATTTTTAATCTTGTGTAACTTATCTTAGATATTTAAAAACATTCATCTGAGAGGGGTCTATAGGCTTCACTGCCAAAAGGATCCATGATAAAAAAAAAAAACATTAAGAACCCCTGTTTTACTAGAATAAATATATGAAAAGACAAGAACTTAACTTGACATCATACAGTTGACAATGGCCACAGCATGCTGGGGGAGTGATGGCTCACCAGTCGCCATAGCAATGGCCAATCCATCAATGAGAGCATTGATTGTGTATTCTCTGTGTGCAGAGCCTTGAAACAGATGCTACATCCAGGTAGAGAACTGTTACCCTTTCTCATGTTTCTAACCCATGTTTCCCAAGTTCCCAGGTACCTCTGTAGCCATATTAAGGAAGGACAAGCCAGATATGAAGCAAATGGACAAGGGATACAGAAGAAGGATTCATAGCTGGGGAGTAGTTTAGGAAGAGCAAAGGCATGGTCAAATGATGACTTTTGAGAACACAATAGAAAATTTTAAAAGAGCAAACTGTTTCAGAAAACAATTAGAGATTATCTAAGAACATTTACAAAGCTGTTCACTCCCTTTGATCCAGGGGAATACAAGCTACCTGAAGACAGGGATTATATATTGTATTTCATTTTTGTATCCCTAGTGCCTAGCACAATGTCTTATATCTAACAGACTCTTAGTCAGTACCTATTGGATTGGCTGGGGCTTACAGAAAGAAATGACCCATATGGTCAAAAATATTCGTTATAGAACTAGTTTTAATATAAAAATCTGGGAACAAATTCAATGCCCAAAGATTAAGGAAGGGCTAAACAAACTGGTAGAAATATCACCAGTATGAGTACCAGTACCAGTAGGTGGTACTACTTCCCAAGGTTGTTATGAGCATCAAATGAGATATTAATTGTAAAGCACTTAGCACAGTGCTTGGAACATAGTAAGTACTATATAAATGTTAACTATTATTATGACTATTAATAATAATAATGATAAAAATAATAGCTAGCATTTATATAGCATTTTAACATTTACAAAGTGCTTTGCAAATATTTTCTCATTTTATCCTCCCAATAACCCTGAGAAGAAGGTGCTATAATTATCACCATTTTACAGATGAAGAAACTGAGGCACAGAGTGGTTAAATGACTTGTCCAGGGTCATATAGCAAGTAAATGTCTGAGGCTGGATTTGATATATGACTGAAATGGAATACTATTGAGCTGTCAGCAAGTGAGCATATGAAGAATTCAGAGAAACATGGGAAGACAGGTATAAACTGAAGTAATGTGGGAAATAAAAAAGCAAAACCTGAAATATCAGTGGACACAAGGACTACAGACAATGTAAATAAAAGCAACAGCAAAAAGCAACAAAACTCCCATTGAACACAATGGACAATTCTGCTTCCAAATGATTAAAGTGCATGTTCACATTCTTATTTTCTGTTAATAACTGGTAAACCTCAAAAATGGAAAGTCACATGAATTATCAGTTGTAACCACTCCATTAGGTGATATCACAACTTTTTTTTGTTTTTAATTAGGAAGGACCTTTTGGAGATGGGGAAGGGTTTGTCAGAACACTGACATGAAAGTTAAGGACAGCATTTTGACCTGGCAAACAAATGAGTGGAAGGTAAAAAGGTATGTGATGAGGAATATTCAGATCTCCATTTTTGGAAGTCCTTTCCAATCTAGTCACTGATCATCTTAGTTAAAAAGAGAACTAATAACTAGGACAGAATGTTATCTACATTGTCAATGTGGTCACAGTATTGCATGTCTAACTGTTGCCCCTTCTCACAAGGAAAGGGGTAGTCTGGAGCTCTGCAGAGTCAATGGAGAGGGCAATGGTTTCCTTCCAGAAATGAAAGTGAGATGGGCTGCTAGGTGGCGCCATAGTGCACAGAGCACTGGGCCTGGAGTCAGGAAGACTCATCTTCATGAGTTCAAATCTGGCCTCAGACACTTACTAGCTATGTGACCTTGGGTATATTACTTAACCCTGTTTGCCTCAGTTTCCTCATCTGTAAAATGAGCAGGAGAAGGAAATGGCAAACTACTCCAGTATCTTTGCCAAGAAAACCCGAAATGAGTCAGACATGACTGAAAAATGACTGAATAGAGACAAAAACACATCAATGAAATGTATTTTTAAGGAATAAATAAATAGAAATAAAAGAAGTCAGGCAGATAAAGGCAAAATTTCTCAGACTATTACTAATGTATACAACCGTGACTGCCCTCCTCTAAAAGGGCTGTTTGGCCACCTGGGGCCCTGGGGCTTAAGTTCCCTTCCACCATATTTCAATTTCAAGTGGCCTCCTAGGGGGAAACTTGGCAGCTGTAACTGCAATAATAAAGGGCAACAGGAAAGTCCTCAAGGATATGGATTCATTTCCTGGTTCTAGCATGTCTCCAGCATCCTGGGCAGTTATTTCAAGTTATAGGAACAGACCTCTGGCTAGCTGACTTGAACACAGGGTATAGATGGGAAACACCCTCTGTATGGGTTATTCCCAATGGAAAGGTCTATTTTCCTTATATTAACTGGCAAGATTGAGAAAAATTTCCAAAAAATATTTATTTTTAATTTGCTTTAATAAAAAAAAATTAGATGCCACATAGCACTGCTAAGATGGGATGGGAAAGAGAGGCTGTGTATGTCAAATTTATCAAGGTTCAGAATCACTGCTCTAATTAACCTGGTACAGGCCAATCAGTATCTTTATTGTGCAACTACGTGCAAACACAGCCCCTAACAGTGGTTCATGGGATTGTTGGTTTAAAGCTAGAAGGCACCTCAGAAGTCATCAAATCCAACCCCCTCATTTTACAGATGAGGAACCGGAGGCACAGAGACATTAAATGACTTGTCTAGGGTCACTCTGCCAGGTTTTTCTGACTCCAAGTCCAGAGCGCTATCCACTACACTGCACTGCCCCTCAATACAACAGGAGCTCCACTGAGATTAGTTCCCCAGCCTTTTCAGTAGGAAGACTTTCAAATGTTAAAGAATTTCATATACCTTCTCAAAATTATAGTATCAGAGAAAAGAGATGATGAAATTACAGTGCTTAGCATGCAAATGGCCTCATGGATCTCTTGTAGTTAACTCAATGATACCTCAAGGATTGTTGGCTCATGAAAAATCTACTGGTCTATTACACACTGAGGGGGAAAAGAAGAGCAGGTAGAAAAAAGAAATAGAAGTTGGCTTCAACTAGACTGTGCCATAACTGGAACATACAATTCACATGTACAAAAAATGATTCTGATCAGTTCCCTAAGAAACGTGGGAAAAAATGGCAATTTAATGTGGATCATAAGAGCTGCTGGGAATAAAAGAATTATCAGAATGGGATATGGTTGATCAGGGAAGCGTTCCTAGAGGAGATAAATTTCAAAGGAAGGTACATGAGTTAGCAGAAAAGTGAAAAGAGACTTCAAGTGGATGTAACAGCAGATGAAAAAAGATGGGAAGGAGAAATGAGCAAATTGGATTAGTGCATGCGTGTGCGTGTGTGTATGTGTGTGTGTGAGAGACAGAAAGATGTTAGGGTCTTCCAACCTCCAACCCAGGCACAATAGAAAGAATAGGTGTCAGGAAAGAATGGTCACAAAGCCACCACTGCCCACCCTTTGGAGCTTTCAGTGTCCAAGATGTTAAGACAGTTTGCCATGTAGCTCGATGCATAAGAATACCCCAGAGACATAGCCCAGATGAACACAAACAGAGGCACCCGGAAAAAGCCACCCAGTAACTAGACCCTGGAAGCTGTCCTGTCTTTTCACAAAGGTTTCATGTGGCTCTCTTTCTTTCTCTCCTTCTGCTTCCATGTTTTGTCTTAGGCAGCAGTTCCTGCTTTCCTGCCTACAGATCACCAACTCTGCCTACCTAATTACGGTAAAAGATAAAGGATACTTCGATTGGCAAACAGCCCTCAAGCCTGGAAGTCCCGGAGTCACTGTCCTATAACTCCACCTTCCACCTACCACAGACCTCACTGCTGAAGCCCGCCCTGACCATCTGAGGAGTTTCCAGGAGCATCTTTCAGGAAGGGAGGAATGCAGTGGCTACATACGGGCTACTGACTGACAGCCATGCTCACCCTACCTGGAGGACAAAGCTTCATGGAGGATTTGTTTTCACTTATAACAGACTCTCAATTACTCAGGGGAAGAAAGGATTCAGTCTTTTTGCTGGATTATCACTAAGTTATTCAGGAGGAGCTTGTAACTTTGCTCTTTGTTCATTACTGATTGGCACCTTTATCAGATGATAAGGAACTACAGGGGCAATAAAATATGAATCAATTGGTTTGCCTACTCCTTAGTTCTGTGGGGAGATGGATGAAACCACTGGATTAACAGATTTTTTTTTTAAAAGGATTTCACTTACCTATGTCATCCCTGTTGCTGAATTTTCGGCATCTGGGAGCTGGCTCTGTTTACTCATCATGTGATCAGAGGGTTAAATTTCTTACCTTTTCAGTGACTGAGCGGGCACACTCTATCAGCTCCCTCTTGGTGTAACTGTCAGTGGGGCAGACCTGAAGAGCTCCTGCCTTCTGGACAAGGAAGATACAGCCATGGCCGAGATCCTGAGCACGGGTCCGGATCTGGAATCCAATCTAAGGAGGAAAACCAGGTGGGGGAGGAGTAGAGACATTATAGGTCTTTTCATTTATACCTTCTCATAGCATGGAAAATTTCTCTTAAGTTTTAAGGGAACAAAGCTAGGAAAATTCCACTCCTATTAGGATTCCATATCTTGTGAAGTGTGTGAGGGGATACCAACTAAATTACATTTTACAGATTCCAAAGGTCACCCAGATCCCATAAAGTATGTCTACATTTTGTGGTATTACTTTTCATCTATTTGTCTTGTGTCAGGCAGCCAAGGCTGACCCTCAGCAAAGCTGTTAAGCAGTTGGGAACTCTAGCTTTTCTCTTGCTGCTCTTCACCCCATCTTTCCCTTCTGTCACACTACCTTCATGATTCCTCCTTTCTTATCTGGAAGAGTTCTAAGGAAAGACTCAGACATTAATCATTTCCATCTTTGTGTGAATATAAATCCAGTGCTTAGCATAGTGCCTGTTACATAGTAGGGGCTTACTAAAGGCTGTTGACTGGCTTACATTTCTCTTCCTGAGTCTTTGCATTTTAATTCTGACCTGGGATTATGGAAAGAAGACTTGGTTCTCTGCTGAAGGAATTTCAAGCATAAGCAATCAGTTGGAGGAGTGCCTTCTAGGGTACTTTATTAACCTGTACTACACAAGAAAAAATTAATGTCCATAATCAACAACCTCAAGGCCCTCAAAGATCCTGGAATACTTTCATCAAAGACCCTATGTTCAGCACAGTTTGTGTAAAGCACATTTTATTGTATTCTATTTCTTTGACAACTAGTATTCCTTTCTAGGTATGTTTAACTGGACTATTCGAATTCCCAACTAAGCTGAGAAAGAGAATTTACTATTATCAAGAATGGGTGCTTTAAAAAAACAAAACAAAATAGAACAAGTTTTTTTTTTAAAAAGTATTTGTTAATTAGTATTTATCTCTTAGGGTTGAGTCAGTACAAATTCTTTTAAATGAACTTGTTCTTTGGATAAGCAATCCTAAAAGTATTTAGGCTGTGTTCCCCGTTTCTGCAGCCAAATCAGTTTTGCCATGGAGAGCTGCCAGTCATCTGATTTGAGTTATAACAAATAATGCCTCCTACCCTAATTTGCATCCCTCTGGGCCAGCACAAATCTGTTTCACATCAATTTTTATTTTGGTTTGATCAATAAACCTGTCATAAATAATTGGCTGTCCAGTTCAGCTAGGTAATTTAAAATTTTTTTTCAAAGTATAAAGTCAATATGTTTTATTTTCAGGAATCCATACCAACTAAGACCTGTGGCCTACAATAGAAGAATTCAGCCACCTCACTTCTGAAAACGTCTCTGGAGGCCTGTAATTACACAGGAGCTTGTGTGACCACTTGGATGGAAGTCATCTTCCCAGATAATCTCATTTACTGGATTAGAGGGAAATCTCTTTGATGCCAGTTTGACTTTTGGAACTGCCATGGTAGAAAAGGCCTGCTCATCTTACCTTGTCAACAGAACACATATGAAAGTCAGTAGGAAAAAAAAAGTAAATCTTTTCATTTATGTTTAAGCATGTCCATTTGTTGGGATAAGATGGAGGTAGTTTTAAAAATAAGACACTTGAGACAGGAGGCTGTGACATTTTAGATTCAAACCTAACTTGGTGAGTAATTTCAGATTCACAGTAAAGGTAGCCTAGAGCTTTACTATAAGTATTCAGCAGCCTGAGGGGAAGAGTTCTGCAAAGGCCAATGGTATTGAGTTGAAAATTTTAGGGCAGTGTTGAAAAGGAAAGAGGGGAGGAAGAAGGTGAGGTGGTGATAGAATCTAGACTTTTTAAATTGGAAGGATTTTGGGGATATTCTAGCCCAAGCACATTTTTTTTTTTTAAAATAAGGAAACTGATTCAGAGGCTGAATGACTTCCCCAAGGTCAAAGCTAGTGAGTAAGAGAGCTGGAACCATAAGTCCCAGTCTATAGTGTTCTCTGTACTATTAATGCCCTTCAAGATCATTAATGCAATTCTGAATTGACCAATATTCTGCCTGAATACAGATCTCTAGTGTGAGATGTTATAGGCTCACCAAGGCAAGAGCTGCCCAACCCCCTCATTGTCACCTAGAAACAAACCCACCTCAAAGTACAAACATCTTCTTACCTCCCAAGGAATTTAATGTCTTGCTGCTTTGGAGGAAAAATAATCACAGCAAAAAAAAAAAGGTTTTCTAATTCTAATGCTGTGTGATTTCAACAAAGTTCACAGGTCTGTACCATTCCCCCCACCAAAAAAAAAGTTAGAACTGCCCATATTTAGCAGACAAAGCAAAATTCCAGTTAGGCAGGTCCCAAGATAGCAGGTGACCAAGCAAAGAAAATGGCGAGGCTAAAATAACAGATATGTAATCCTTTAAGAGGAAGTATAAACTCAAGGTATTAATGTTGGGATGAGATCAATAACTCATTTTTAGACTCCAAAATTCCTGAGACCTGCTGTTGATGAAAATTTCTTATCTAGTCATTGTGCTACCCCATTAGGAAGATATTTATAATGTCAATAGTAATAATTTAGTAATAATTATTATTATTATTGAAGAGTTTCCTCACCTGGAGTTTACTATGCCAGAGAAATCACAGTGCTGCATAATAATAATGATGATGACTTGTGTAGCATTTTAAGGTTCATAAAACATTTTTCTGACAATAATCCTGTGAGATTGGTAGTGTAAATATTAACACACCCATTTTACAGATAATGAAACCAAGGCTATGAAGGGTTAAGTGACTTTTCATACTTACACAGCTAAAGTGTCACAATTAAGGCAGGATTAAATCCATTAATTAATCAATTAATTAATAATTAAGTCCATTAAGGATTGAGTCCAGATTCCAAGTATAATACTCTTTCCGCTACATAAAGTTCAGACTGTCTCAAGAGTCAGTTTCAGAACGAAAGTGGCTTCCCCTGGATACTTTTCATGTTTGTTAAGCTTGGGGATACATAACAAGTGGGAGAGGGTGCCAAAGGCCCTTCATGCCTCGCCCCTGGCGTTTATTTAAATCTAATAGACTTGAGCAACGCCACACCATGTATTGATTCAGGAAAAGTCCTACAGCTATCGTGAGAATAAAATAAAATATTATGTTTAAAGTACTTTACAAATCTTAAGGTACTTTAAAAGTACTTTAAAAAGTATATCTAAATGCTAGCTATTATTACTAAAGGAGGGTGGATTAGGCCAACAGTTCTCAAAGTATGGTTCACGGACCCATGGGCATGGACTTTCAGGGCAACCATGAGGTCAAAACTACATAATAATATTAAGATGTTATTTGCCTATTAAAAATACATATCCCTTTTCCAGCTGTATATCTGTGTGAGGCCACATTCTCATTATATACTTCTACCAAAATAACATACTACAACAAATTGAATGCAGAAGCAAACATGACAATTCAGCTGTCTTCTATTAAACCAGACATTAAGAGATTTACAAAAATATGTAAAACAATGCCATTCTTCTTGATACTTTTTGTTTTGGAGAACACAGGCTTTTTTCATAAAAAAATATTATTTATGTGAACATGTAATAGATTTAAAATTTATTTTAAAATGAATTACGGGAAATGAATTTTAATTTAATTTATAATATGGTAAATATTGCTAGATTATAACCAGTGGTGTGCTGGTGCCAGCTCGAACTAGCTTGTGAGAGCAGACTGTTAAACTTTCGGTTTGAGCATTTACACTTTGTAAATCAGCGAATGCTACAAATAAGGGCTTGGTTGATTGTTGAGACTTATAAAAGTGATAGAGAAAATGTTAATAAAGGAGATTAAACTTAAAAATGTATCATGCACACAGGTTTCCCCTGCCCCAAGAGAGCTAGTTATTAAACATTTACTAACACACCACTGAATGTAACCCACATAAGCAAAGGCTTTTCGGGATCCTTAAAGAATGTTAAAGGGGCCTAATAACAGAAAGTCTGAAAGCGGCTGGATTAGACAATTTCCAAGATAACATTCAGCTTTAAATTCTGTGATGCTATGATGTGAACAAGAAGGAACTAACTGCTTCTGCTTGCAGCAAGTTTCAGTAGAAGAATACTAAATCATTCTTCCAGAGTTAGGGCAGCTAGGTAGTATAGAGGGCTAGCTAGTAGATAGCGTGCTGGGCCTAGTCAGGAAGACTCTTCTTCCCGAGTTCAAGTTTGGCCTCAGACACTGTCTGTGTGACCCTGGACAAGTCACTTAATCCTGTTTGCCTCAGTTTCCTCATCTGTAAAATGAGCTGGAGAAGGAAATGGAAAACCACTCCAATATTTTTGCCAAGAAAACCTCAAATGGGGTCACAAAGATTCAGACACGACTGAAAACAACTGAACAACAACAATTCTAGTATTAGATGTCCTAAACTGAGTGCTGGCTCAACCACTTAGTAGCTTATGGCCTTGGGCAAACCACTTCCTATCCAAACCTATTCCTATCCTAGCCTTAGCTTGCTCATTTGTAAAATTAAAGGGCTGGGACAGCTAGGTGGTATAGTGGATACAGCACCAGACCTGGAGTCAAAAGGACCCGAGTTCAAATTTAGCCTCACACATTTACTAGCTGTGTGACCCTGGGCAAGTCACTCAACTCCGATTGCCTACAAAAAAAAAAACATGAAGGGGGCTGGTGTGGATGGCCTCTAAGGTCCCTTCTAGCTATTCTTAATATAGAATAGAATATTCTTAATATAGAATCTTAGGATTCTATGATCTTAACAATGAGGTGTTAGAAAAAAAAATTAGCAGCTCTAGTAATATATTTGCTTGCAGAAATTAAGGTGAAAAAAACAAAACCCTCCACTCTTCTTTCATGAACAAAAAGGGAAAAGAGAATGTTGCACCCCAATTAAGTTGCTTCTTGGGCTTTGGCCCCTGTTGATGAAATTAAAAGTTCAGTCTTTATGGGATTCTAAATCAAATTCTATTTGTTGAATGAAAGAAACACACAATCATTTCCTTTACTGAATACAACCAAACAA